ATTAGATAACTATTTTTTTTTAAATAAGATATAAAAATATCACTAAAAACTGTGGCAGGGCTCCATGGCTCTTTGTTCCGGCTGTAGTCAGAATAAAATATTAGACATGTATACTGTATGTATGTAGCAGCATCCACAGCAGCTGCTTTTCCTTTCGGGTCATACCCATGGAATTTGGATGCTGCGTGATCAGATCCCGTTTATTTCTGCAGAAGGAGCCAATTGAGTTTATTGTAACCACCGAGTTGTAGGAGGGGAAGAATCACACTAATTCTTCAACGTGCCTGTTTTTGTGATACTAATCTCTTAGTGAAAGCTTTTGCATTTGTTTATTCCCTTGGGTTTTGATAGTACTGAAAATTTCTGTATGGTGCAACACTCTCTAGTTGGGAATGTTAACCCACAGATTTTTTTCCAACGCCTTTCCCAGTCCCAAGTCATAAGCATTAGGGAATAAATATCTCCTATTACACAGACATTACAACTCAAACTTTCTCCTGATACACAGTGATCAGCACACAGATGTCTATCCGTATCACACAGGGAACACACAAAGATAATAAAGATTTGGAAACAGACCTTTCACCTTATGCTTCATACAAAGGTGGCATAGTGAGCATCTTACAGGGAAAGCATGAATGAATACATCCAGTAAATTGCATCAGTGTGATGAGCACATCTGGACAAGTAACCCAATCTGCAATCTGTACTGCTATCACATTAGTGAGTTGTGAAGGGAAGGGGGAGTGTAAGGGCTGCTTCCTCCAGCCAATCAGAAGAACTTTCCTCCTCCAATGACAGAAATGGCTCTGAACTTGAGTTATTAAAGGGAGAGGAGCTCCCCTGTCTGTCCAGAAAGGGATACCAGGGAAATCCTGTACAGAGCAATCTACAGAGCTTTCCTCTGCTCCAGCTTCACCTGACTGTTCTATACACTGCTGTAATATGACAACCACCAATGGGACCATAGAGAATGGGCTGCCAGACAAGAAGATGCCTTTGCTACCAAAACCAATAACCAATCTGGAAATCCAGCACAATCAGGTAACATCTTAATTCTATGCTTTTGCTGCATACATCACATTACACTAAACATGCATAAAAAAATACAGACTTTAATAATATTAAGGTTTGTTTAGATATGATCATTGATGCTGTGTTACAAGAGACTGCCACAAAGTATTGTGCTGTATTTTCTAAGGTATAAGTATTGTGCAGTTTTCTAAGGTATACATATTGTGTTTTTTTTAAGGTATAAGTATTGTGCTGCTTTTTTACGGGATAAGTATTGTGTTGCTTTTTTAAGGTATAAGTATTGTGCTGCTTTTTTAAGGTATAAGTATTGTGCTGCTTTTTTAACCTAAGGTATAAATATTGTGCTGTATTAACTACCATATACTTGTGCACCTGTTCTATATGTGACATTATGACTTGTATGACGTGAGACTGGTTCCATCCACATACATCTAAATGGTTATTACATAAATCAATGTATATGTCCTCCTACTAATTTATACAGAATACATGGCACATATGACAAGGCAGGATTGTTCAGTGTCAGGACAGGATAAGATACATTGTTTATTATATCTTTTATTTTTCAATTCTGTTCAAAATATTGATACATAATAAATATTTAGTAAAACGTATTTCTAAATATTGTACAATAGTCTTCTATCAAATATCATAGCAATGCGTAGATGCACCTGTCACCGAGTGACACCAAGGGGCATATTTGTAATGCAGAGAATCTGACATTCATCAAACTTTCACTGTAGCTGAACCCTACCTGTGTATGTGTTTTCAATAGCAGTGATTGATTCCACACCAGTGAATGTTTGGTGAAAGAAACATCCACCTGTTATTTATCTGCAACAAGAAGGTTTATCTTTAGTTTTCCAATTCTGTGTCCTGAAAAAGAATTTTACATTTTGAAATATTTAGTCAAGAATCTGGCAAATCACCAAACTTTTACTGCAGGTGAAACTCCTGGTGCAATGGTTTTCAAGTGACAGTGATTGATTCGCCACCAGTGAATGTTTCGTGAAAGTAACATTCACTTGTTGCTACAAGTTTATCTTTTGATTTTCAATTCTCTGTCTTGAAAAATATTCATACATATTAATTATTTAGCTAAGCTCTAAATATTGTACAATTGTCCTCAAGTAAAACTCAAAGAAAAAAGGTAGAAGGACCGATTAGGATGCACCTGTTACCAAGTGACATTGTTATAAAGAAGTGAATCTGACAATTAGCAGACTTTCACTGCATGTAAATCTTGGTGCATGTGTTTTAAATAACAGTAGCTGAATTACCACCAGTGAATGTTTGGTAAAAGTCACATTCACTACTTGATACATATATCTCCAAGTGTCAGGACATACTGTATTTTGTTATGGTACTTGTCTACCAGGGTCCTATTCTGCATTTGTGACACACATATACAGGGCTATTCACAAAAGGGTGAAGGGTTTGGGGAAGGCAGGATAAGTGAACAATCTAGGACAACATAGCTGGAAAGTGAGGTGAATGGGAGAATTTTTCCAAATCAGCTATTTTGTCCTAGATTGTTCACGTCTCCTGCCTTCTTCGAACTCTTCACCCTTTTGTGAATAACCCTGATAGACTTTAATATACTAATATACAAACACACGTGCATTTTCTAAAATATGTAATCATGTATCTAATCCTAGACATGCTAACTTCAGTGTTCTGCAAATTGAAAAAAAGAGAAACATTGAGTTGGAGCTTAAGATAGGGAAATATAAAGATTGGGATGAGAAATGTAGAAAACGGACTGAAATATGATGATATGGAGTTAGATAGAGTAAGATAGAGTAAGATAGAGTAAGATTCTATATACATATAGAGCTAGAGAGCAAGAGAAACAGAGAGATATAGATTGAAATAGAGAAACATTGAGTTGGAGCTTAAGATAGGGAAATATAAAGATTGGAATGAGAAATGTAGAAAACGGACTGAGATATGATGATATGGAGTTAGATAGAGTTAGATAGAGTAAGATAGAGTAAGATTCTATCTACATATAGAGTAAGATAAAGTAATAAAAAATCTTCACCACACACTTTAAAGATGATTATATGACATTATAATAAATTTCAGCAGTGAAGGAAGAAATATGAAAAGTGATGCTTGCCATGCCAGGTAGCTTACAGAATATCAGTAAAGCACAAAAAATAGTGTGGGTGTCAGTAGAACTGGTTGCTGCGTCATTTAATTTAGGAAGGAATAATAGGAATATGCTTTTACACAGTCATGTGCCAATCCATACATGGATTGCAAAAGATCTGACATTTTAATTATTTTAATCCAATATGGATCAAGCAAACACTGGGCTCAACATTTTGTTTTACCAGCTAAAAAAAAGACCTAATGAAATCTTCCTGAAAAATATTAATTAAAACTGACTGCAGATATAACTAGAAAACACAAACCACTATCAGAGCGCCTCTGCAACTGTGGTCCTACTCTAATCTATAGGCAGAATCCACATATATAAATGATTATGCTAAGAGAAAGTTTGCTTGGAGGTTACTCCAGTCCTCCTCAAAAGTACCACATCACATGAGAAATCCAGACTCACTATGGCTGATGAGGACCTGATGTAGAAGTGTACAAAACTATTTGCATTGACTAGAAAAATCACCAGCAGGAGGAAGGAGGTCCCGATTCCGCTATATAAATCTTTAGTTATCACTGGAGGGATTACCAGCAGGAGGAAGGAGGTCCTGATTTCCCTACAGAGATCTTTAGTTATCACTATTGGGATCACTAGCAGGAGGAAGAAGGTCCTGATTTCTCTATATAGATCTTTAATTATCACTATAGGGATCACCAGCAGAAGGAAGGAGGTCCTGATTCCTCTATATACTGTAGATCTTTAGTTATCACTAGAGGATTCTCCAGCAGGAGGAAGGAGGTACTGATTCCCCTATATACTGTAGATCTTTAGTTATCACTACAGGATTCTCCAGCAGGAGGAAGGAGGTCCTGATTCTCCTATATAGATCTTTAGTTATCACTAGAGGATTCTCCAGCAGGAGGAAGGAGGTCCTGATTCACCTATATAGATCTTTAGTTATCACTAGAGGGATCACCAGCAGGAGGAAGGAGGTGCTGATTCCTCTATATATTGTAGATCTTTAGTTATCACTAGAGGATTCTCCAGCAGGAGGAAGGAGGTCCTGATTCCTCTATATACTGTAGATCTTTAGTTATCACTACAGGATTCTCCAGCAGGAGGAAGGAGGTCCTGATTCCTCTATATAGATCTTTAGTTATCACTAGAGGGATCACCAGCAGGAGGAAGGAGGTCCTGATTCTCCTATATAGAGCTTTAGTTATCACTGGAGGGATCCCCAGCAGGAGGAAGGAGGTGCTGATTCCTCTATATAGATCTTTAGTTATCTCTAGAGGGATCACCAGCAAGAGGAACAAGGTCCTTATTCTACTTTATAGAGTTTAAGTGAGACCCTGTTTGGAATACTGCGTCCAGTTCTGGAAACCTCACTTACAAAAGATATAGCTGAGCCAGAGACAGGCAACAACCAAAGTGAAATATTTGAGGAATAAAACATATCAGGAAGGACCCAATTTCAATGGCTTCCTGTACACGCGCCGAACGCGGGAAAGTAGTGCATGTAGCAAATTCTGTGACATGCGTTCTATGCATACGCTTGGCCGCGTTTGAGGTACCCCAATGGCACCTTAAGTAGATTGGTGTGCGTTTCATGAGTCAAAGCCTGCACTTCTGTGCACATTTGACACGCGTTTCTATGCCTATGTGTGAACGGGGACTTATAGTGTGATGATCTGTATAGAAATGTTGCAGTGTACCATAAATGTAGACACTTTGTAGTATGTCTAGTATAGCCAGATGTGATCACCAGCACAGACAGGTGAAGTGAGTAGACCAGAATTGACACTGATCAGGATGTGATTATTAGCAGGGATTCAATGGAGTGTGCAATTCAGTATGGACAGGTAAAAATATAGGATTATTGAAACTTTGCAGAATGTGTAATTCAGATGAGACAAAATGTATTAGATTAGTTTGTATTAGTATAGTCTGGCTCTAGAAAATAAGAAGGTGAGTGTGTCTATAGGCATAATGTTACAAGCAAATACAGCATAGAATGTGCATGACAGAATTCATTATGTGTGAAAGACATATTGAAGAATATGCCAGTGTGTATGGGGAGCACAGACAGTATATGTAAGCTATAATGCCGATCTATACTGGCTACCAGTCAATTCAAGCACCTACTAGAATGGCTGACCCCAGTGAGAGTGACTTTGGTCTGCAGCTAAAAGGCAATAGAAAGCATTGGAAGTTCTTACCAATAATGGCAAAATCACTTGCCAGGGGATCTCTTGTACGGCTGCTCGTACGGCTGATTTCAGTCGTATATCGGCTGAAATCAGCCGTACATCGGCTCGCTTCGTATGGCTTCGGGTCGACCTCTGTGGTAACGAGCAGAATAGAAAAACAGTTTAAAAAGTAGAAAAAATTAAATAGAAAATGATTGGGCGGAGCTAGCAGTGACAGCTAGCTCCGCCCAACTGTCTTCTATTGGTCGGGCGGTTCTGCTGCAGTCAGAAGAAAATAAAATAAATAAAACACCATAGGAATGCATAGCTAGATTCCACTGTCAATCACTAGAAGGGGACCTGATGGAGAACTTCAGGTCCCCTCTGCTGATTGATAGCAGCAGTGGGCGGGTGCAATAGCTAGTTTGCTATTGGCTATTGCAAAGTTAAATAGCCAATAGGAATCTAGCTATGCATTCCTATGGTGTTTTTTCTTTTTATTATTCTGACGGCAGCCAACGGCTTCGATGTCAGAAGAAAAAAAAAGAAAGACAACAGAGCAGGGAAAGGTTTACTCTGCTCGATCGAGCAGAGTAAAACTTTCCGGGAGAAAGTGTTTCTCTCCCGAGCGGCCGGGGGCTGCTATCCAATAGCGGGAGACTCCCAGAGTGTCTGGGAGAGTTGGGCTGTCTGTGCAAGTGGCCGGAGCCAGC